CTACACTTTGAAGAGAACTCCCTGCAGTTGGCATTTTCCCTGCCTGCCGCCCTGCCAGTCAATGGTGGCCATGCTTTGATTTCCTGGCTGCATATCTGCCCTTTCCACCGCTCCTCCGAATATAGTTAGCAAAGACCATCGTGTCATTATTAAGAGACCGCATGAGGACCTGGACGAAAGTGCCTTATGTGCGGTTTTTCCCTACCCTACTCGTACTCACCCACACACACCTTTTTACCGGCTGCAACCATTATCTTGTGCTCGTCACAAAGCACCTTTTTTTTATCGGAACCACTCTTGTAATCCATGTGCATGCGCGTCGAACGAATGGGCTTTTGAGCTCTTCCCCCCTTCGATTGTAGACACGCCAGTGGGGCGGGAAGTAGGGGGGGACGGGAGGGCGAGAGAAGGGGGGGGGGGTGGAGAAATCATAGGCTGGAGAGTAATGTGCGGTACGGTGTTGGGGTAAGAACACCAGAGGAAGGGGGGGGGATCCGGACAGCTAGTTCATATATTTGATACCGACCGCCATTCTCATCAGGGCTACATATGTAATCTTGGGGCATCTGCCACCCCGCAGGAAGGTGTTTAGTAGTCTCCAATTGTACCTCCTCAACAGAGCTTGATCTAATTCCCCATAGGGCGGTGTAACCCCATAGCTCCGATCAGTATGGAGGGCGATGCGCAGGGCGCATGCCTTTAAGGTCATGTGATTTGATGTGTCTCAGGTTGAGTGATAGGAGGCGGAGATGCCGTGTACTATAATGGAATACTTTGTTACATACATGGGGGTCTGGCAGGAAGTCCGCCATATTGTTGGCACGCTATGTCGGTGTCCAGGGTAAGAAAATGTAAAATATATTTCGAGAGCCATAACCACTAGTCGCTGTTTTTTGCCCCAGTGCAGTAATTGGTAGGTTCCGGCGGTCTACTAGCTCTTGGCCCCGCGCGCTCGTAAATGATCCCAATTACAATTATATTAGGATTCGGCCCCTCGCGTCCAGAAACAGTGACAAGCCACGGGGGGTCATTCCCAGAGTTACTAATATCTCCAGAGCTCAGCTCTATGGGTCCAATGAGAAAGAAAACTGGGGGCCGCTTGGTCGCAACCGCATATCAACTTTCTTCCCATTAAACCCTTCAATTGCTTAAGGAATCCTCCATCAGCTTATTGCGGCATGAGACAATTTAATACCCATAAAACCCATCAGAGATTTCGTACCGATGGAAGAGGACATTTTTAAAAAATGGCTAACCGCCACACTTCTCCAGGTCTGGGCAGGGACGAGGGGGAAATTGGTAAACCTTTCAATAGTAGGCAATTAGCATAGAGAACCCACCCATTGTAATACCCTTAGAATGTAGGATTCAAATCGGCCATCCATACTTACTAACTTACAAGTATGAATTGAAATCGAGATCAGGGTAAGCATTGGCAACTGATTTTCAGCTTCGTGTGTACCGCACAGCATATCCACTTGCGAGCTGTTAGAAGCTAGTTATCGTCAATTGAATCATAATGAGAAATAAGAGTGATCAGCGCATATCTTGAGTACGTTTCCTAATAAATGGAGATGGAGGAGGAAAAAATAAAAAATCCCTTGACGACTAGATAAAGCGTCCAGAACGTGAGTTTCATGTCCAGAGGCCCATGTTACGCCAGTTCCCGCAAAATCCGATGCCACGAAACCATCAATTGTACTTCCCTTCCCTTCCACATTCTAGAGGCCCTTAAGAATATCAAGTTGATACTGCACAGGCAATTTCTCCTCAATTGCCGCCACCATCGCCTTTCCCACCCTAACATTTGGCCTGCCCAAAATCCTCTCCGGGTACGGTACCTTTCTGGCCCGTCTTCCAAGGTATGAGACCGTGTAGTATAGGGACTACCATACATCATTCGCCGGGATGGGTCGGAGGTCTGTCCCCGATATCTGCACGACAGGAGAGGTATGTTGACAGCTATCAACCATAAATAAATATCCCTATAAACCTGCGTCCCCACGGTAACGTAACTTAGCGGTGCTGAGCAAGGTGGAGTGGAGCGGCTGTGTATGCATAGGCAAGTAAAGGTCGGGGGTAGACTTTCGATTCTGGCGAGTACCTAGTTCCCGGCGGGCCGTCTGTTGAAGATGTGTGCGATTGTGCGGAAGGACAGCGTTAGGCCGTTAAGGGATTCAGGGGGGGTGTACGAGTACTCGAGTATCAAGAGAGTCAAGGAAGTTACCCGGCATAAGTATCAATAATCCTCTGATATCCCGAAAGTTTCCAACCACAACTTTACCGGGATATGGCTTAATAAAAGTCGCCGGAAGAAGGCCCCTCTCTAACCCTATTTTCCCTAATCTCCAACCAGAGCAAGATCGCTGGATATAGTAAAATTTCGAATTACCCATGCAGCGCCGGTCCCGAAGTTACTGTATCATCCCATAGTCAAGCCCCAGTATTTTGTCCTTATTATGTAATCAAACAAAATAGCCATCAGAGTGTTGATTTCTAGCACCCGCCCCGCACCAAACCTAATTAATCCGCGCCTAGGTATGGTATGTAAGAAGAGAGCTTTCGTGAGCAGTAAAGCTCCCCTCCATATCAGTAGGCACTGCCTAAATAGTGACCCCCTGTTCAGTTACGATAACATTTGCTGATCCAACAAAAAAAAAAAAAAAAAAAAAAAACTCACAAAGTCAAGCAAGGCTGGGCGAAGAAATCCCAAGGTGTGGGAATAAGGAAAATCTTTGCCAGGGTTCTATTGGTACCACCGTATCCTTAGACATGATGCAGTTCCCTTACCGGTAGTTCCCAGAAGGTATCTGGTGCGAAAACTCAACGTGTGCACTGTATGATACTGGTACTCGCACTTACTGGTAGACGCTACCGCCCTTATGATCGACCGGTCGTTCTGGGCCCAGCTACCGTACCGTATTGTGGTCGAGTATGATAGCTTTGGTACAGGAGATAGCTGTATGATAGCTTACCGTATCCGGGGGTCTTCAATGTCACAATCTTGGCGACAAAGAACAGACCAACATCCACCGAGTTCTCCATATAGAATGCCCATTTTCAACAGGCGGAGGGGGTACTCAACGGACGGTTCTAAAAAACAAAATTCCAAGCCATAAGTTATTAGAGTTCTGGAAGGCGAGCCCAGCCCGGGGATTGGTGCCGGCCCCTTTTTGCCGCCAGTTCGCACTTTTGGTTATCATACCACCCCCCAACAAAGTTTGACCCCCCGTCCTGAGACACGGAAGAAATGAGTTTACTTGTAACATGGGTACTCGTACAGTACCGTACCGGTATTATTCTGCGCTTCAGTAAATTGATCGCCGGTTGTCAACTCCAGAGAGAGAGAGACACTTCTTCTCTCAACCCAGGGAAAAAAAATAAAAGAAATAAAAACCCTTATCGCGTTTCCCCGAATGGGGGGGGGACCGGGTAGAACCGACGCTAAACTGTTGATTGAGCTTCAGCACGATATCTATATCTACCGGCATCGTGCCCTATGGCCTTGTCGAGCGAGTGAGTGGGATAGTTGTATAGAAGAATGACCACAAAGGTGTGCAGCGCGACGAACAGTTCAGAACTGTACTCGAGTACTGTACATGCAGGGCACAGTACATTGAAGCATCGTATGATTTCTCTTAGCGATACGGGCCAGCATCATGCACGGAATCACTGTTCGATGTGATACGGTAACTTTTGAACCACGATTATTATATAACGGGTCATCAGGATTCTTTTTCGTTTTCGACCTCACCCAATCTAAATGGAGCATTCATATCCTTCGACTTATCACGATAGCAAAAAGGCTTACTACCGGTACCGTTGATAAAGCCTTGCATTAGTTGATGATGATGACGATGATGCCGGCGGTATTTGCGGATATCCTATAGGACTTTTCTTTGTCATTTTTGTGCTAATTTCTGTCCACCTGGGGACAACTCGCTTGCGTGAGCTATCGTTCTCACAAAGCGATGAGAAAGCAATATTTTCGTTGGCGTCATTTGAATGCCCATTATGTGCCATGATTCACTATCGTCAGCCCTTGTTCCTCTTAATGAAATAGAAAACTTCCCTTGATCGACTCGACAGTCGTACAGTAGTGCGGGGCCCCAGAAAGCTTAACATACATCTGAAAATCTTGCTAGTTAGCTCCACAGTAGAACCGCTAACTTTGGATCCGGGATCTGGTAGGAGAGCTTCCTGGTATTTCCGGTTGGAACGAAAATTATGTTGCGAGCTCAGATAATAATATTATTATGACCTCCCTCCCAATCCGCGTCGCACTCGTGGGGTCCGCTCTCGCGTACAGTACCGTAAAGTACTCATACAGTACACACAGTACGTAGTAAGCTGAGCAAGTCCCGAGATTGCATCGGTTGTCTCGTGGAATTTTTTCCCAGTCTTCAAATTCTCCTACCAACGCGCGACAAGTTTGTGTGAAGCACGAACAATCTGTGTGATTCGCCGTAGTCTACTGAACAGTACTCGGACCGTGCACAAAAAAGTTTTTACATCACCCCGGAGCGCCCTCTCGCACTTTGTTCTCAGAGAACGCTTCCTGAGAGTTGGCAAGCGAGCCTAGCTAGATTCAAGAGTTGCATACGCACTAGTACGAGTACTGTACATCTAAATGGTATTGATGATGGGTCTGTGGATTCGTTGGTCATATCATGCTAGTTTCAGTGCACGAAGTACCGGTAGGTTTTTTACTCCAAAGAGCTTCGCTCGCTGATAAACTGTGGCCTCGCAAACCCTCCCTCCCTATTATCACAAATAACTCTTCGGAATCTTGTACAAGTACGACATGAAGCGAATACCTTGCTCGTAAAAATTAATGAAAGGAGAGACATCTTCCATTTTACAGGTCCATCCATCCATCCATCCATCTATGACACCCACCACTTTTTTTTGATTCCTATTAGAAAATAAAGAAAGAGGCCATTTTGAAGGTAGGGTAGGAGAAACAAACTGTTTAAACACTCCAGAACTCATTGATGTCACTAGCCCACGAAACCAGCGAGAACTCCAGCTCCCTTCCCCGTGCACCGGCGGGGGGTAAAAAGAAGGATAGAGCATAAAAGTACAGACCACTCGCAATTGGAACCCCGGAGAAGCGAGAAAGCAATTAAAATGGAAAAAAAATGGAGATTACATGGATATCTAAACCGGGACCACCTTTTTTTTTGGAGGAAGGGAGAAAAAAAGTACCTGAGGGGAAAAAAGCAGAACCTAAAAATGTATGGTATATGCACAGCTGCTACCGGACGGATAACAGGAAAAAATAAAAGGCCGCTAACACCAATTTTCGCCAGATGGTAAGGAATATGTAACGAATGAAGTAAGTAAAAATGCTGTAAGACCAAAGGTTCTGCGAGAAGGGAATCTTGGAGAAGAAATCCAACTACAAAATTATCCCGAACACTCGCCTCCAGTATCCTCAACCTTCCAACTTCCAAAGAGCCCTCACAGTCGGAACGCCCTTCTTTCTACGGTTAATTTCAACACGGCCACCGCCGCCCTGTCCATGTCCGATAGCATAAAATGCGCTTTCTTCCCAAAACAGGTTTTCCATCGGAGAATCTTCTTGCCCATCCCAACCTTTGACACTTTCGAATGGACCTTGGCCGTCGTCCCCACCCGTATAGCAAAAGATATTACCGTTCTTGCTCCTGCTGCCAGGGTCTTCCGTTGAGAGCCGTTGAGAAGCTCGGAAGCACCATTTGCGACGCCTCTCCCTCTCTTGGATGATAGCCTTAGCATCATCATATCGCTTCTTCATGCTCTGGTTTCTCACACCGAAATTCTCATGCTCAACGATCAATTTCAGGATATTGAATGGTACGCTCAAGATAATAGTGGAGTAGATTCCCATTATTTGCGATTCCGGATTCGGGGTCGGCTCGAAAGCTGCTTTCGGGAGTTGATTGAGCTCCTTAGGGAACCGACAAAGCTGTTGGCTTGGAGGGGCGTTGCGGTTTAGCCTGAAGTTGAGCGGGAAAGACTGAACCAAGAACTCAATGACGTCCATAAATAGTCGGCTTTTCAGATCCTTATAGGCACCGCTTCCATCTCCTACACTCTCCGATTCCTCCAGGATGAACCCGAGAAGCCTCTCTACCGCACCGCCTTGAAGTTGCATCCCCCACTTTCTAATTCCCCAATTTGCTTTTTGAATGACTCCCGGAATTCCCAACAAGTGACCTGCCGCAAATAACTCAATACTTCTCTCCAACATCCTAACCTCCTCATCCATGGCTGGGCCACCTAGGTGGTCACTGCTACCGGATAAAGCGTTGTCGGTATTGCCGGCAGACGGTTTCACTGCATTGGAGCTTCCACGGGTCCATTCAAGAGTTCTATGCTGTGGATGTGTAGGATCGAGGAATGCATCAAGTTCCCAATCCGAAGCACCATACAGGCTTCTCAAGGCAAGGAGGAAGCTGTCTTCGCTCACGGGCTCGTCGATAGCCTCGAGCGACAATGTGAGTTTACCGTCTAACAAGCGATGATTTCTGAATTCGGATCTATCTTGGGTCTCATTCCCATGCTCCATCTCGTCAGCCCAAGAGGTTTGGGGGGATACCCGATTATGTCCGATCGATGATTCTAGAGCATCGACCTTTTGGAGCGAAATCTGAAGCAAGTCGTGTAACTTGTTTGATCTTGCTAGGATGAACGAGTGTGCATTGTACTGTCGAACTGGGCTAGAACCTCCCATCCCATTTATTACTAACAGAACATCCGCAAGACTCCCATTCAAAAAATACCCTAGGGTATACGACTGAAGCCGCTGGGCTGCTTCGTTATTTGCAGGAGTGAAAACCTCGCTACGGACATGTAATTTGCTACTCTCATGTTGTATGAATGCTCGTTTCTCAGGCTGGGAGGCTGTGTGGACCAGTTCCTGGTGGATAGGAGTGTGAGAACGTTGGTCGTGAGGCTGTCCGCTATCATTTATATCAATGTCAGCTCCATCGTCGGAATCAGACGGAGCAATGAATGATATATTTCGAAGACGAGGATTATAGTCACAGATGCTAGACTGCCTTGGCTTAGCCGTCTGTGGTTTGGTGAATGCACTGCTGTCCTGTGGCTGGCTATGAAGGAGAGTCTGTTCTGTAGGCTGAGCCAAAGGAGAATAGGAATGTTGGGGGGCATGGGAGAGTCCTGGAGGAATAGGAAAAGGATGAGTCGGTGTAAAGGGCGTTTGCGGATTTGTACTACTACCGACCTCCGAAGTATGGCCAGAGGTTTCCATTGCTCCTTGAGACTGGAAAGGAGGCATCGGAGGTAGCAATGATCCTGTATTTGGGGGCGTGATGTTCCCGGAGAAAGGATACTGTGCGGGATAAAACATTGGAGGTTGATTTTGAGCGTGTAGGAAAAAATGGGGATGATGTGGAATTGGCCCACTGGAGGGTGGCGGCCCAAAGGATGAATATTGAGAACTATGTGGCGGCATATCATGGCTAGCGAATTGGTGAAAATGTCTGTTAGGTTGAAAACTGCTCGTATGTGTACCCTCGTAAAATTGGGGTTGCTGATTGGGGGAAAACCTTGAGTGCTGAGCAAAAGCCTGATCGGGAATATCAGACTTGTGACCGCTCGAAAACAGAAATTCAGACCGCCCACCATTTGGGATTGGTCCGTGCTCGGCTCCTGGTTGATGCAAATTTTCATGTTCGGATTGAGTGGCTTGGCCGTTTGATTCAATATCAGGGCCAGGAAGGGCGGTTTGTTGGGATGAAGATTGCTGTAGGGGTAAACCTACGTGCGAGGACGATCCTGGTAGGCCACATGCTACAGACTGCTCAGCAGAAGAGACTCCAGTTGTACTAGGAGGAGTTTGTAACTGTTGCACATTATCAGACGGTGGCATAATACGTGACTGTGATGTAGCCAATTCGTCGCGGTTAACGTTAAGAGATGATGCGTCGGGGTCTATGGTAACAACTTGATAAGTCTTCTTAGGTGCCGAATATTCTTCTCCTTCCCTACCCCCAGCCAATACGATGGCAGCTGTGTCCCTCGGTAGCGGCGTTCCAGGAATACCGGGTTTCAGAGGAAGACTAGCGTGCCCTTGGAGCCCGGCCGGGGAAGGCGTGGAAGCTGTGCTCGCGCCACGGCCAATACCTTGCGCAGGGAACTTCTTCGGTCTAGGACCCATGGGAAGAGCCGGGGGAATAACGGCAGTAATTGATCTACGGACAGGTGCTTGGGCAGGCGTGGGTCTAGGAGGGAGTGATGCCGGGGGGGTTGAAGACGAGGGGGGAGAAGGCTTAGGAGGGGTCGGAGGAAGCTTTTCCATGATGAGACTCCTACAATTCTTAGATGGATATTTGCTGACGAGGTGCGGAAGGAAAGGAGGAAGGAAAGGAATCTGACAACTAACCGAAATAAACCTGGCAGCGAGCAATGCTGGGTTTAGCGACGCCTACGGCAAGTAGGCTGGAGCGAGTGTCAGGGACGATGATGGGAGGTGGGGTGTCGATATCGATAAGAGAGGCGGTGGTTGAGAGGAAGGGAAGGGAGGGGTTGGAGAGCTGTGACGAGGCTTGAGGAGGGGCTCTGCGCACTTTGGAAAATGGCCTGGGGGTTGTTGGTTGCAAACAGAAGGAAAGGGAAAAAAAGAAAAAAAAGGCCAGAGAATTACATCATGGGTTTTCGCACTCAGGAGAAAACGAGGGAACTTAGACTACTTGTAGAGACTTTTTTCCACCATGGGATGATTCCATCTACACATTTTCCCTCTCTGGATCTAAAGTGGATTGACATTCGGTAAGAATTCTGTGAAGTCGGACCTTTGGGTCATCCTTGGCATGTTATAATGCCAAGACACTGTGGGCCTAACGCCGACACGACAACAACACCACTTGGTGGCAAAGTATCATACTTTTGCATGTATTTGTCCGCCTCGCAACGGTAATGGATTGTTGGCAGCGGAGCGCTTGTCTCTAATCGAAGAATCATGTATTTACGTTCAGCGATAGGATTTCTCATAAGTCTACTTTTGTATAAACTTAACTCAATAGTTTGGTCGATGCTTTCCTCCAAACGACCGAGGAAGATTGTCAGTCTAGCAACCTCATCGGGCGTCGCACTCTCAAAAAACCACCGCCGCTACTCGTATTATAGGTCACTTGGAGCTTTCGCCCATCTTGTCAGAAACTAGCAAAAAAAAAAAGCAGTATGATACCCGGATGGGAATCGAGCATTACTGTATGATACCTGGAATCAATTAGGAGATTCGGGAGTCATCCTCCTCGATCGTTACCAAAAACCCACGCGAAATAGTGGTGAAACTTACAAAAAATGCATAGACGATGGAGGGAGCAAGACCTTTCTGCATCCCGAGTGGTAGGAAGAGCATGCACGTAGAGTTCATAGCACACGAGAATATTCAAGTATAGGGGGGGGGAGCTTCGTAGGGATTATTATATCGCCAATTCCGGTCACAGGAAGCCCAAGGCTATGATAATTCATCATGGTTCGTCACTCGGGATCGGGTCATCTTTCGCTTCCAAGGTCCTCCGTCGCTGAATCCCTAGGCTCTATGATACTTGACCCCTCGACTTCTTTGCCGTGTTCAAAATATCGATCACTGTTTCCTCACTTTGGATTATAATTTATTAATGCAGAGGGGCCGAATACCGTTATGAATGAGCATTTCGTCGACTGCGTCTACCGGCTGGTTCAGTTCCTGGTATAGCCGGACGGCTGGGGCATATACAAAAAGTCCTCGCCCTTTTCATCCTCTTTTCCCGCTCCTTGGATTAAGATCATGATTTAAGGCTGGCACACTCTAGAGAGAGGTTGGTACTCAACTCCCTCTCTCAGCTCGGAAACGTCTACTTCTTATAGTGCTAGCGATAAAAGTATAGCACATTGTGGTACATGCTTTACCCCGAATTTCGAGGATATCCGAGCATCCCGGAACCAAGGATCTGGGATTTTTCGGTGGCCCTGGGACCGAGGTATTGTATCCGGATACCGATGAAATTGGCGAGTGGGTGGGCGGCGGAGTGCTGGGTGCTTGAATTGGCCAGTAGTGTTGCCTGCCGCCGCCTAGAGAACGCCCCCAAAAATGTCTTGTCTTGGGCTTCCATATTAGTTTCCGAAGCAGTGCGATTTCCTTACTCAATACACGGTGATATTACGCAAGAAAATTTAAATCAGAGTTGCATTATAATGGCTGATCCTCCCCCCTTTTTTCTTTAAAAAGCGGAACCCTGGTAAACGAGTCCTTCTTTTTTCTCAAACATTTTTTATGATCTTCGTGATGATTCCCAATTCCCCACAACGAACCCATTTATTACCTCTGCTCTAACTGGTGCGTAAAGATTAAAACGATTGGTTTAACTTTGGATATGGGTTAGCTTCGATTGATCGCTCAGGTTTAACGCCACCCATCATTTACAGGCTGGCTGTGTGATTGGTATGGAGTGGTGCAGGAGTCTTAGAGTCAGCTTTGGGGGTTCATCGAGGTCACTAATCTTATTCATGTATTAGTATATTAAAACCATTAGAAGCAGAAGGATTATTTAGAGTTATTAATTTATGATCAAAATTTAAAGTAATTAAAGAATGGAAACCAGCACTGGGCCATGGGGTCTGGCATTTCCTCAACTTCCGGAATGTATTAGAGCCCGATGCTAAACTATTGGCCAGATAACATTTGCCCAATTATATTCTAGGAGAGGATAGGTCGCAAAAACAGACTCATGTCTTCATGAAGCCCCGATACGAGAAGCGATTCACTTCATGGAAGATCTATCTCCCGGGGCCGACAGCTAGAGAGACAAAATAGAGGAAGTAATATGTTACAAGGAGGAGAGAAGCTAAATTCGGACTGCGTAGTCATACCATTAAAGCACCGTACTCGCAGGAAAACATAGACAACGAGAAGGAATAGGAACGAAAAGAAACACCTAAACGGCAGAGTATCAAAACAAACCCAATGACAAGAATGACAAGAAAACTAGAAATACGCTGCTTCCCAAAGACGCCCAACGAGCTAACGCCAACATTAATCGCAAAGAAATCAAGCCGTTCTATCTATCCCAGAAGCCTCCAGGAAATATTCATATCCACCAACGCGCCAAATCATATACGTATTCCGCTCTAGACACTCGGTTTCCTTACGCTGCGTTCCGGGCTTTTGCTAGGATCCAGCGGCTTGTTGTGAACTAGCCTGTGGTGTTGCCGCATGTTGTCTCTTCGGGAAAAACCCTTCGTTCCCTTCCGTGCACAGCTTGGAAACGGGCAGTCATATTGCGGCTTCCCGTGGGCATCTCGGTAGTGCCGTTGGAGCTTGTGAAGGTGACTGAAGATCTTACTGCAGTCCGGTTTTAGACACGGATGTTGCTCTCTATCCTCGGGTGAACTGCGCGGAACAGGTGATCTAGGTTTGGGTTAATCAGGGAAGGTGGTCAGGATATCTCGAAGAACCCACCTTGCTGGGCTAGGAGATGACGAGTCCGGTTCATTCTCGTAGTATTGTCTTGGGTTGGAAGAGCGGTCGGGGTCGAGAACCCGGGAGTCTTCGTGCAGGCCAGTGGTATAGCTAGCGTTCGAGTGTTGGAGGGGCGGTCGATTGGGATCAAATTGCTGACGCTGGTTGGCGATGTTTATGGGCTCCATAAGAGAAGATAGTAACACGGCGGCCGGGTTAGATGTCAATGCTCCTCCCGAATTATACCTTGCTGTGAACCAAGAACAGAGTGTTGGGGAGGAGTTGGGTGGAAACTTCGGAGAAGGTGACGCTAGCATTGGATGGGTCGGGAGGCTCACTTAAAGTGCGCGGTGTGCTTAGATATGTTGGCTGTCTGTGTGGGAAGAGGGGCAAGAGGGGGTAGTGTTATACTTATTTCACAAAAGAGCTAACGGTCCACAGTACCACCCTAAAAACTACTAGGTTGTCAATTCCAGTCTAAGTTAAGCTGGGTTCATGCGAAGCCGTTACGAGATACTTTTTGCGTTTGCTTACTATGGATTAATTCCGGACCGCACCTTACGAGGGTGGGAAGAGTTGAGCTATTCTGTTCTCAAAGCCAACATGACATTGAAGAAGCCTCTTTTGAGTTTTGCCTTCGCCGCCTAGGCTTCCCTCGGCGTCCGGGTATTCGCCACATCTAAGTACAGTACGGCACTACAGTAATGCTGGATGCGCCTTCTTACTCCCTCTATCTATCGGAGCACTATACCACACCAGAAAGTGCATGCACCAAAGCAATGATGCAAAGGTAATGCAAGATACTACCAGTTAACGAGTGGGGGAAGTGTCTATGATTTCCACTCCTCACCCAATCTTCTGCCAATGAAGTCAAAAACCAACTGTCCAAAAATGACGGAGTGTGCGGTTCAAGGCATGATGGCTAAAGCAAGTCTAGGTAAAGCATATTTTTTCCTACTTCTATCAGTTTTGGGCTTTGCGGCCTGCAGCGCCGATACCCATTGACGTTTTTAATGTTTGACAAAGGAATGGAGGGGGGGGGGGGAATGCCAAAAGTTATCGATTGGAGCCACTGAATACTGCGCCTAAATGCAAAACGTGGGTCATGACATGGGGCACGGAAGTGGGAGCGTGATCTCTAGTATACGTATACCAAGCTTTTCAGCGCATGCATCATTATCTCTCGTCAAAGTTTGGATCTACTAACTTGTGATAAGAAGTGTGCCCATCGGGACAGAGGCGTGGGGTTCTGCAGAGGCAGCAAGATGGTTCCACTGCTTGAGTACAAGTACTCGTACTTGCTGTTAGAACATACTCGAGTACAGTACAAGCGCGGGATCTCCTGTGTGAGTGTCGAAATTTTATTTGATACCATTGTCTAACGGGTAAGTCACTTACAAACAATTTAACCCCTGGGTTGGCTATTTACCCGGGAATTTTTGTTCAAGCCGCGCCATTGAGCATCTGCGTGGGACGACCCTTTATTGGAAGAAGAAGTACAGTACATTTGCATGGATGGCAAAACCGAGACCTCACCCCGCGTCAACTCCACCATTATCTCCAACTATGATATCTTAACATTTCCCCGTATAATCCGTCAAGGTGGGAACCGGGGCCAAGCAAGAAATCCCAACCAACCACCCTCTAACCGAGGGGAGAGAGGGTTGAACAACAGAAAAAGTACCGTATTTCGTCCGGCACTCTATAGGAGCCTGGGCGCTTACCCGTTGTAATTCAGCCCACTGCCCACACGAGTGATTATTGATGATGGTAAAAAAGAAAATAATTTCGAAAAGAGACAGCAGGATGACAAACCCACCGCAACAGATGGACCCTGGGTCTCGTAATCCGCCAACGCAGATTCTAGGTGTGCAAAAGGGGCACACAAAAAAGTAAATCTGAATCGATAAACGGGAAGATCGGAGGAAATTTAACTCTTGGTGTTTAACTTATCTGCGAAAGACGTTAACAAAACAAGCCAACCCATAGAATACCACTAGCCCACCAGGGCAGACATTCTGATCCCCAGCCGAGCAGGGACTCGCTGCCCGGGTGCATCGATGGGCAATCATATTTTTGTCGCTTGAGGATCGGACAAGTAAGTTCCTTCCATGCTCCTCGTGGTCTCGTCACAAAAGAGAGAAAAGAAAAGCAAAAAAAAAACAAAAAAAAAAACAAAGGAACCTGGTAGCACCTATGTGTACGAGCGGCTCAACATCCATTGTCTCTTCCTGATGCGGGGCTCCCACGAGAGGTCATAAATCACCGGAAACTCTTTTAGGATTATATGCGAATTGAGCTATCATCGAGAGACGTATTTAGGTCTGGGTGCGGTCTGGGCATGCACTTTGGTGACACGTAGCATTTAGAGCAACCTTACCATCGGTAGGGAGAAGGGCAGGAGTGAGAGATCCGGGATTTTCCTCTATGTGAATCGCTGGACATCAAGGATACTAATTCGGTCCTCCTGGCAGTTAGACAGTGAGGAAATGTAAATGACTCTACAGATTCAAATGAGAAGTGAACGTGGTTTTCACGTGGAAGTGGGGGGGCACAAGTGTTTGTAAACCGGGATATACACCTCTGCATTTCTATGAGGACACGAATGACTTGCCATCTCGAGGATATTACGTAGTGAGGGGGAAATTGAATTCGGTATCAGCCATTGATTTTAGGTTCATGGGCAATTTTTATTCTCCCTGGAGGCATCCCCGCCATTGGACCCCGAAATGGCCCTTGTTTCCCCCGGTGCCCATTTCTGGATCAACCATTGAAGCTCGCTATGGCGGTTGCTGTTGCATTTTTATATCGGCAACCTATCAACAACTCACCACTCTCGGGTGGCATCCGGGAGGCGACACTATTCGTAAGAGGCCACCCCCAACATCGGCTACACCATGACTCCAAAATTTCGTGTTGGAATCGCTCGCATACATCATCCCATCCCCAGCTCTCAAAAAAGGCGCCAACATCGCCCATAGCGCAGAGGTGGGAAAGGAGCAAACCCAAGAAAACTACTGGGCGGAATAATCTTTTGGCCTTCCAATCAATTGGAAAAACTTTCAACTCAACTAGCAAATGAGCCCATGATGAGCAATTTCAACGGGAGCCCACGCTCAGAAAGAAGCTGGCAATGATCTGCCGAGGATTCTTGAGTGGGATCTCGTTTCTCTACCCTTAAAGGGGGTATTATAGAGGGAGGACTTCCAATGAGGCTCTAAGCCACTAATGGGTTCAATCTGCCGTTACCGCAAGGGTTTTCCTTTCCCCATGATGTGGACCAAGCTTATCCAGCCTTGCCAACATAGGGGTCGCTGCTGGATCTACTCGAGTATCATACCGGTATGATAGCATTCTCTTCGTCCCCACAAGTGCTTTACCCTACCACACCTTTTGTAACCCTGCCATGACAGGCCAACGGCCCTCGGTTAACAACTCATATTTATCTACAAGCGAAAGGATTATGTGCAACGTTACACCCAGATTGACAGTTCTCGAGTATGATACGGGTTGTGCTAACAGAGTCTGATATTACCGAGGTATCTCGATGCACCCAGCCTCCAGGGGGGCACCTTGGGACCCCTTGCGATGTCGGTAACTCCACCAGTGGGTACTCGAGTACTAGTGCTCGATCATATTCAGTCAGGAGGGCGAGGTCGTCTCAGTGTGCTTTTCGCCGAGCCGCAACTAGTGCACCTTCTGCCACAAGATTGCATTTGCGAGCTGGAAACGGTCGTCATCCGTCGCCTATTTTTTATTCGAGAAA